CGGAGACGAGGGAGAAAATACCTTATACTTTAACATTAGAAACATAAGTAGTGGAGTTTTTCCAAACATTTTGGAGAGTTATGTTACGTTAATGCTGCTTTATGTTACCGCTACCATTCACTTTGGTAACCACAGACTCTGCAAACAAACATTACTTTAATAACTCAGTGCATGTAAGTAATAAGTATGCAGTAGCATCATGAATATGTATTAATCAACTATTTGCTTTCATAGCTGATGGAACAAACATTGCTTTGGCCCTTGTTACCTCTGCAACAAACATTGGAAACGATTGACGGATATATGATATCGTAGCGTAATCTCCAAAAATTTGAAAAGACCCCATTCAAGATTTTTTTTTATGTTTTCTGATGTCGATATAGATTTTAAGATCATCATCATTTGTTTATCTGTTTTAAAATGATTTTTCCACCATTGTGAAACACACCCTTTTTTAATTTATTTCCCATTTATTTATTTATTTATTTATCATTTTTGCAGACTTATCTTCCTTACAGATAAATCTAATTATTTACTATTGATAATAACTTGACTTTTAAAAACTTCATTATTAATTAGCAGATATGCCCTACATCCGCCAAGAGCTTAAGTTTCGTAAAAAAAATCACTAAAAGCGAAAGAAAGAAATTGTATAAACTTTGTCCAGTTTCTCTTGGCAAGATCTAGTTAGTAGTAGCAAACAAATACTCAAATTTCAATAGATAATCATTGTATAACTACTGGTTTTGGACAGATCCGAGGGCTAGTTCTCGAAGTGGCAAACTTCCGGCTTTCATACGTACATATATGAAAGGTTACTATCCGAAATATTTCGAGCAAAAAATAAAAGCTTTCCCTTTAATAAGTTATCAAAATGGCAAAATGAATACACGTTGCATCATTAGTCCAAAGGGGCAATTTGCCCAGAAGGGCTATTAATTTTGTTTTGGCATTGATTCACTATAAACGACGAATCACTTTTTAAATTGTTGCCACCAAATATGCCTTGTATTATATTTAAAGAAATTAAATAATGGAGAATCTGCGTAAATGTATGTATGTTTCTTACATTATGGTAAAAAAACGGTACCTAGAGGCATCCAATTTTGAGTAACTTGCGTCTCCTCCCGAATGTAGGCATCTGGAAGAACAAGTTTGGAATTTATTTTATTATCAGTTTCATATTTTGTAAAGCATTTATCAGTTTTTGATTAAGAAACTCAATGATTTCAAAGCGAGCAATGGCAATACTGTACGAAAAAAAAAAAAAAAAAAAACATTCTTATCTCCAGCGCGCGAGGTTATATATCGGAAATCCTAAAGATATGCTCTTTTGAATATTTTATGATATTGCTGTTGAATTGAATATTATGCTTTAAGTGTGATGAACATAATGTTTAATAAATAAAGGTAACACACGAAATGTTAAAAAAAAACGCCTCTTTGGGCGTAATATAAAATCTGAAGCTTTCAGGTTTTTTTTCCCTTTTTTTCCTTTCTTTTTTTTCCTTTGCGATGCATTCCAGTGACAGTCAAAGAGCCTTTCGTACATTCAAAGTACAAAGTAGGAGAAAATTAACTCAAATTAAGTAAAAATGAGGTTCTATTTACGTAAATGTGAACTGAAATACAAAAAAAAATTCAGAATGGTTATTTTCATAGGGACAGGAAAATTTTCTAACAGAAATGATAGAGTAATTACATGATGTATGCGAATGTTTCTTATTTAATACATAAAGTCTTATTGCTTAAGTCATAAAATTTTGGTTTAATGAATAAGTTTCGTTTTTAAGCTTTGCTTTCATTTACTACCTCTTTTCAAATCAACACTGTCAGTCAATGCAAATTTAACATCGTTTCAATGGGGTCGGGATTAAGAAGCACTTATCTAATAGTATTTGTCCCACGGTAAAATCTTTTGCGTAATATTTGCTGGTGAATTTTATGTCATGCATACGGAATACATCAGAATCAGACTACTCGGCACATTCGCGACTTTTCCAGATTCAAGATTCCAGCAATTCCAGATTCATCGGACTAAGATTGTACAATGCCCAAAATGACTTTTTTTCAAGCTATTAAATATCTTGAACGAAAGAAAAACGATATTGCATAATTTTGTGAGAAATTATAGAAAATAATAATTATTTTAATTATATTAAATAACTGTTAGTTAATAGTTATTTTAATTACAGTAAATAAATTATATTTAATAGTTACTTTAATTATAGTGAATAAATCTATTCATAGTTTAATTACATTTAACCACTGGTTGCTTCCAAATCATCATTATAGTCCGGTGCATGAAATCGTTTCAAGTATATCTGAATACCTAACTGCTTGACAAATACCATTCTTTATTTCGTCTGAAAGCACACATCTACTTTACTTGTAGTTAAGTAAAGTAGTTAATACTTTAGTTGCTTTTAAAATTTCATTGTTTTTCTTATTAGCGTAAATGTTCAAATTCTTTGCACTGAATTATTTAGATAACACTTTATCAATTTAACCGAGGTTAGAGGTCTGCAACGTTTGTCAACTACCGATATTTTTAAATCACTCGGACAGGAATTGTGTAATTTTTCTTTCCGTTTTTGAAAGCATAGAAGTTCTGGTATATATACTTACTTTATATAAATTCGCTATAATAGTTCTGTTCTCACTTTTTCTCTTAACTGATTAATAATATTCGGTGAATTGTGAAAGAAATACTATGTTTCCCTTGCCAACATTTTTATCAAGTTTTTATAATATTCTATATGAATAAAGATAAGGAAATGAAACTATATATAAATCCGAAATGTTAAACAAAAGACTGATTGAAAAGGGCAAAAAGATATTAAGCAAATATCTTATTCTTTCCGAGTACCGCAGAGTGTTAATAGCACTTCTCACAGCCAAGTGCTGAATTTTCGGCTGTGCCGAATCACTGGATGCCGGAATATCGGATTTTTACTGTAGTTAGCCAAGCAAAGTTGCTCATCTCTCCAGCTAGTGATAAAGGTAGTTTTGTTGTGATATAAAATATGAATTATTAAACGTACTTCATTTCTATGTCAGTTACAGAAAGGTTTTATTTAATGGCTTCGAGCTGGTGAGTTGCTTATATTTGTATGATGTTGAGTTTAACATCTCACTTTACAGAGGTTTCCTTTTGCTCCAGTTCACTAGCGCTAAATTTACAAAACTAAATGCAAAGGTTAAAAACTTTGTACTTAGTAAATTTATCAGTATCATCATCTCAAAGTAAATTTATCACTAGTGAAATAAAATTAATCTTATGGTTAGATTTCATTTAGGGGCGTGTTATATTAATACAATGCAGTGTAGGGAAAAAATTTTTAAAGACAGTTAATTGACTATAACCGGCTAACTCGTTATTGGTCAGATAAATGAAAATTAAATAAGAACTTGATAAATTAATAATCCATTCGATACTTATTTTTCTTGTTTACGTTTTTGTATAAATGTTCGTATAGAAAATTCGAAAAAGTTATAGAAATGTATAATATGAGGGCCAATAAGTCCTTGAGTAACAAAGGAAGAAATCAAACTCGAAATCATAACGAAGTAATAATAAAAATTAAACCCATTCGAGTTATTTACAACTCTCATACACAGAATGAGAAATCCGATTAAAACCGTGTGGATCACATAATATTTTGAAGTACTCTTAATCTATACCTAGATATATACAACTTTAATTAAAAATTAATTCTTAATTATCAAATGATTATATATATATAACAAATAAGGAAACTTTCAAATCATATTCTACAGAAACAATAACAGATTACTAGCTTAATCTTTATGTTGCTGTTTTGGTGGAATATGATATAAAATTTTCACTATTCATTATATCGATTTATTTTTAAAATATTTCTCTAAATTACAGTAGCTTTCAGAGCGTGAAAAAGCTTTATTTACCAATTTTTTAAGAACTTTCGTATTTCTTTATATATATATGCGTTTTGCTGTTATGTATGTTTTTTAGTTATTATTATTTCTTTAATACATAATTTTCTTCAAAGAATCTCTTTTTCTTACGTTTTTCAAGAATAAGTATATGCACGCCGATTGCAAATAAATTGAAAGTATATTTACGTAAATTGAGACTCTAAATTATTCTCGAAACAGAGTAATAGAAAACCGCAAGAAGAATAAATTTCATTTAAATGGACTTTACCTTACGACAGGAAATTTATGATACAGGAAGCCAAAATACAATATAAATTCCTTACCATATCTACTGATAGGTGATACCTTGTCATATATACTGATAGCAGATACACTAATAGCTAATGAATAAACGCAAATAGAAAAACTATTATTAATAAACAATTTTCAATTAGTAAAGGTGATAAAATCGTTATAAATGTGCCTCTTATTTATTCTCAAAACATGCACGAATATTTTACACCTTTTCAAATTTTATTTGCAGAGTTATTATTTTTAAGATGGAAAGATAATGATATTTCAGTTATGTTAACAATAATTTATTTTTCTTTTCAGTTTAGATGTAAATGACAGAAATAACTTTACAAAAGATGGATTGTTATAGGTAGTGGTAACATGCTTATCTTACAGGTGCTTACCTGTGCCAGTGGTTGTGGGCCTTGTCATCATTAAATAACTATATACTTATGATATTTAAAAGAAGGCAAAGCAAAGTTTCAATATGACTGTGAAAAATTTAAGTTAGTGATTTTTCCTCAGTTCAGTATCTTGATTAATAAATCTTTTAAAGTAAATCTCTTCAGGTATATGATTAATTTAAATCAGAAATTCTGGAATTTGCAGATATGACGAACGCAGAGATAACCTGAAGTTAAAAATTTCCTTTTCTTCGCTAAAATAATTTTACAAAGCTAGATTTTATTTAAATTCTGCATTAAAAATATTTTACGGAAGACATGAAATTCTATTAATGGAAACTGTTATAAATTGCTTATTAAGCACAGAAAAATTTCTGAAATGAAAGCATTTGTTGTTCAACTTACCCCACACTCAAAGATTGCCGCCGCTCCGCAAGCACGCCGTCCGGGAGAAAGTCCGAGAGCGCCGGATGCCAACGGATAAAGATTTCTCACACTCTCTCGCTGAATCTTCTTAGAAGCCGGATACTTCTCCCAGTACCTACGAGTGCTGACGATAGATGGCACTACGACACCAGCAGAGGCGGTGCTGTGACGTCAGGCCAATGGGCGTAGCCAAATTGTTGTCACGGCTACTATTTCCCCACGTGTTTTCTGCCCAGTTTTAATCGGAGGTTCTCTGTCAGCGGCGACAGAGTGAGTGATGGTTAAATAAGGGAAATCCGCTTCCTAAAGGTAAATATTGTACAATCCGTCAAACGGAGGGGCTGGTCTGCCAACAGGAGTCTGGGAAATTAAAGGGTGAGATATTATCACCTTGAGCTGATTTGCCACATAACGCCCGGCTTGCGGAAACAAAATTACTGCAAGTCTGAGACACGTCGAAATGGAAAAGTCAAATTTCATGCGACGGTTTCTGCTCATTAGTAGTTTGGAAATAAATTTGTTTTTGAAGTTTAAATGCTCTGCTTGGTATCTTTAGAATTTGGTTCTGAATTTTTGGTAAATATGAACGTATGTCTGATTATTTATGACAAATTATAGAGCATTGAAATAAACTGAAACTAAGAACTGAAGTTTTTAACCACAAGAAAAAGATTTTTAGGTTATTTTCATTTGATTAGAAATTAAATTCTTTTCCCATTTTCAAAGACTACCGAGAGCATTGCATTTCATAACCACTTTTAGTGATCATAACTTTTGAATTTTCACTTTCTCTAAGTAGTATTTTAATGTGAGAAGCTAAAGCGCATAAGAAATACTTACACTTAAAGTAATACAGTTCACTAGTAATACCCTTAAATGTTATTAGATTCATAACGTTTATTTCATTGAAAACGCAAAAACAATTTCATTCCTTAATAATGCTTGATCGAAAACACAGAAATTCTTGGTAAAATTGCAATCAATTATATCCCAGACATCACATGATCTGGAAGAACAACGCTGCCTTTTGAAAATATTTTACACCTTTCCAAATTTTATTTGCGGAGGGATTGTTTTTCAAATACAAATATAATGATATTTCAGTTATGTTAACAAAAAATTATTTTTCTTTTCAGTTTAGATGTAAATGACAGTAACGACTTTACAGAAGACAGATTGTTATGGTGGTAAACACAAAATTTACTTAATTTAGAGCAGGGTTTCCAACCTTTTTCTCCCTAAGAGTACATTCTAGAATATTGTTTGGACGGCGTGTACCGTTTACTTTTCAAGGGGAATTTATAGTTGGATAGATAATAATACATGCATATAGAAAAAGTGGTCGGTCTCATTTTGCTTTGTGCTAATTTCTATCTTGAACACAATTTCTATTTCATTAGGAATAAAATAAATTTCTCACAGAATTTTATTGAATTTTTTTTTTTTTTTTTTTTTTTTTTTTTTTTTTTTGTGTGTGTGTGTGGTGTGTGTGTGCGTGTGTGATTGCAAAGCGACGAGCACACGTTAGACGATCGGCCGGCGCCATGGTGTCCACGAGCATAGGGTTTAAAGCTTACTTGTGACAGACGGTAATTGTTCAAAGACTTCTGAATCGACATTTCCTTGGGATAGATCGTGATAGATGGATAGGTCGTGGTGGACCAGCTTACTACTTACACAACTGATATCACCTGTTTATATACACATCTTCCATACACACCCTTGCGGATACTTGAAAGATTATGTTTACAGAACCTTATTTTCTGATATTCCTAACAATTCGCAGGCAGATGAAGTTGTGGATGTTGCTATGCTGCAATGTGTATGAGTAGAAATGGTATACTGTCTGAACATCCTTAGATCAATAAAAGTAATTAAAACTAGCAGGGACGTAAAACATTTCTGGAAAAATAAAATCTGAAAAGTTTCAGAAGAGAAGGTCAGGTAGCGAAGTAAGTTTGTTAAGGTTTTCCACTCTCTCCATGAGCTCGCACTCACTCCTGCTATTTGTTGTTGTTGTTCCCTTTTTTGTTTTATTATTCAGCATCGTTTTCTTTTCATTTATGCCATGTACAATTCAACAGCAAATTTACAAAATTTTAAAACCAGCAGAGCAGTACACGTTTAGAATTCCCAAAGTAGTGTTAAGTTAATGCGTGCCTTTTTCTGCGTTTTTAGGCTTTTCCCAGTTCATGATAGCAGTGTCCAGTCCATCATATCAGAGTCATGAAATCAAGAATAAAATATATAAATTCTTTTTTTATTTAAGAAGCAAATATATACATATTTCATAACTTTTCAGATGTTTTAAATAAATTTCAGGGCTATCGTTTTGGGGAAAGGGAATAATTTTACAACTTGAATAATTAGACTGTAATCTGAAGTTTTTAGAATGAAAATTTTCGGTTCTCGAAAACTGGTAATTGTTCCACTTATAAATCATAATTGATCAGATTTGATTCTATTCAGTGATATTTTTCATTATACCATTATTTATAATTATTTGAAAAATATTCTAGGCTTGTTTCCATTCGACCTTTTTAATTTTTACGTATCCCCCCCTATAGCATCATCCTTCCTTTTGTTAATGTATTTTCTCTCTTTTATGCTTTCAGAAGAGTTTCAGCTTTTCATTTGTAAACAACTATGCATTCTTGTCCACTTGCATTTACGTTCAGGTATGCTTGTGTAGAAGCAACGAGGTAATTGACTTGGTTTGACTTATTTGATTATGGAAAGGTACACGAGCACCATCTGCCTAAGAGGGAGGGATGCCTTCATGGAGGACGTTCTAAGGGAAACTGACTTTTATACACAGTACACATTGAGAAGATCATAAAAATACTCATGAATATCGGCTATTCGCCGGGATTAAAACCCGTCCCAAACTACCGGTATTCAGCAACTTTTATCGCTCGGCCGCTGGTGGATCAGCAGGTAAAGCAACATGTCACTGTTTTCATTAGAAATCTGCTAATAGTATGAATTTTCTAATACTTCTTATTATTATGCGTATTTTTTTTTTTTTTTTTTTTTAAGATCGTCGATGTTAAAGTACTAGCCTCTTTAAAATTGTCATTATCTAGAGTACTTTTTATAAGTAAGTTTTTATTCAACATTTTTATTCAATACACACTACATGAGTTCTTAATTATTTAGTTTTTAATAAAATACTTAGAAAATTTTCCTGTTTCTGTTGTTTTTGAAAGCAACCTGGCTTTGTAATAGTAAACTATGATTTTTGAATTTTCACGGTTAATCTTGCATATTATATTTTAAAAAGCACACAAAATAGTACACGACTAACCTCAACCAGGTCACGTCATCAAGGTCTAAGTTTCAAGTTTTAATGCTTTAACAGAAAGTGTCAGAAATTTTTGCTCAATGGTTACGATTAAGCTGACTGTGAAAAGCTGCAGTTACTAGATACACATTTTAAGAGGAGTTTAGATATTTACAATATTAGTAAAATTTAAAAGATCTTTATAACCTGTAATAAGTTAGATACATTTTTATTTGGTTCGCAGTTCGGGAAAATTTCTCTGTCAATGAAATCGAAAATTAATTGATAAAGTTAAATGAAACTGGTCTTCAATTAAAAGTACCGAAACTTAACAAAACTGCATAAACCTAACCCTGTAGAGACTTTAGGATATTTCGAAGCTGGAGAAATAAAAAATGAGCAATGCCCTCGCCGGGACTCGAACCACGAACCTCTCAAATACGTGCTGAATATGCTGACCACTACACCACGAAGGCATGCTAAGAAGGCGGCAGAATACCTTATAACCTAAGTGCTTCTACATTTCTAAGAATTCAGTTTTTGAACAGAATTGTACCCGATATATATATATATATATATATATATATATATTAAATATCAGTAGGAATAAAATTTTTAGGTTCTGTAATAGATGTAACTTTGAACACAAGTTGAGATAAAACAGACTAACATTAAATTTGTTTTGGAGACAATCATAGTTCAATAATAGTTAATTGAAATTAATTTAATGTTTAAAAGTAAACAGCATAAATTAATACATAAGAGTTAATATATAATTGAACAACGCGATGAAATTAATAATTTATACTCGTAACTGAAACTAAACGAAAGGAATTCATAGTTGCGTAGTTAAATTACTTTATAATTGAAAATATGGCTAAAATACATTGCATTAATAATCTTTTAAAAAGTAGTAACTATTAATGTACAATGAAATTAATGTATAGTTAAAAATAAGAACTTAAGTAGTCAGATATTTATATATTTTTCTCCATAAATGATCATCGGAAATTTCTGAAAGGTTATTACAGCACTTTGCCTTCACTCACACATTACAGCACTTCAGTTTCTTCCGAGAAGATAATTTTAGATGCATTTTGATTATTTTAGTGTTTATTAAAGTAACATTACCTAAAATGGCTAAATCTAAATTGCTGCCCAAATAGGAATCGAATGTTATATAATACACTATGCTAATTTCAATGCAAGTAATTTTCAACTGTATTTCAGATCGTTACAGCAGGAATAGTTACGATGAATGTAGAAATGCTGCCTATCTATTATATCGATATTATTCTAACCTACCTATTCGTGGTTAACAGCACGGGAAGGCGAAAGGTAGAGAGAGAATGATTAACGTAGTTATATCTACGCTAGTATTTATTGCTCCTCATCAACTCTGACAGATTCAATATCGATTAGTGTTAATTCTATTCAAGTACATTTCAAATATATTACATAAATGGTAGCTATGCAATTTAGAGCAAAGATATTTGGAGTCTATCACTGATCCATGCATTTAGATGCTATCGTAAGTTGAAAATTTCAAATGATTCTAGGTAATTACGTTTGTGCCCTTCTACTTTTCATTTGCTTTAACAAAAACTCACTGAAAGCTAAAGTAGAAAAAATTAGTCTTAGTTCCTATTTGAGAAGTTAAGTTAGGTTATCTGGATATATCTAAACACACGAGAGCTAACAGCTTACGGTTAAGTATACATTAGTGGAGGACCCTCTAAGGATTAGGTTAGGTTATTTGAATATGGCAAAATCACAAGGGCTTACTTAAGAGAAGGAATGCCTTCGGGGG